ATTCTTTTCTGTATTTTTCATTCTTCTCATTTCTTTATTCTTCGGCTCAAGTATTTTCTTTGACCTCTTTGCAATTCACTAAGTCTTTCTCATGCTGTTTCTCATTTGTGTTAAATATATTATATTCTTAATTTCCATTAATGTATTTCAGACGTAGATTGTTTTATAAGTTTATAGATTTTCTAATATAATTCTCTATCTAATCAAGTATTTTCTTTAGTATTAATGAGTTATTTTAAGACTGACACTGAACTCCGTTTTCTTGATTACTTTTGAGTCCATTTCTATTTCCTGTTTTTAATACCTTAATTTTTAACCATTTGATACTGTCTCTTGTCAGACCTGGCAATTGTTTTTTTGTTTGTTTGTTTGTTTGCTGCTGACCATTATATATAAAAATTGTGTGGAGGCTGAGAAACATATTTTTTTTGCATAAATGATCTACTTCTGTCAGGCAGTTATTGTGATCTACTAGAGATTAAGGTGAATTGAGGCTGGATTTTAGCGTTTGTGGGGCTGGCCTATTTCTGATTTGCTCTGCTTCTCAGACTGTTATGCTTTAAGAATCTTAAATAAAAGCCTGAGCTATTTACTTGGTTTCTTGGTAATCTCTGAGGTTCAATGTTTGTTTCCTTAATATCACAAAGCTGCCAAATGCTCTAGTTGGTGATTTAGCCTCTTGGCTGTCACTTTTTGCATGGATACTTTGCCCTTTGCCCTATATAGCTAGATTTTTGGATGCGTTTTGTTTTGTTTTGTTTTGTTTTCCCTTTTCCATGATATCAACATCCCTCAAGTTTTGGCTACCTTAATTGGTCAAATGAATCCCAAAAGATGTTCTTTTGTACTTTTATATAGCCTTTAATTATTTTCCTTTAGGGAGCATTATCTGATACAAGCTACTTCATATCCGGAAGCAGAAGTCACATTAAGAAAACAAATATCCAGCCTAAGCATAAAGATATTCTGAACTTTTTTGAGGAAAAAAAAAGTTTTAAGGAAAACTACAATTAAGCTGTGACACAAATGTACTTATCAGAAACTAGATCTCTTATTAAGTAATAGAAGTGTCTATCTTTCTGCTAAATTGATAGAAAAAATTTTGCAAGAATAAGTTCTCTTGGCTTTTGTTTATGGTCCTATGATGAAAAGGACCATTCATACTCATCATGAAGTTCACTGCTTTTGAATGGAAAAAATGGTCACTAACTTGAAGAGCGATCATTATTGTATACTAAATTTTCACACACACATGGATTTTTTTATACTAGCTCTATCTTGATTGTCCAATGACCTAAATTGTTTATTTCAACACAAATACCATGTTACCATGCTATTTTGAAATAAGCTCTTAATTTGATTTTTAGAAATTAATACAAAGATAGCATACATACCTGCAAATTGTATTCAGTAGAATTTAAGTTTCCTACTATTGCCTTCTCTCCACATTGTATAGTCATATAGATATATATAATTTTTTGCATGTAGTGTTATTATATTTACCAATTTTTTTATTTTATACCCCCTGGGGATATTATATACATATACATATAATTGATATAAGTGTTTATGTACATAGAAATATAAAAATACTTTTTTTTTCTAATTGATAGTGTACTATATTTAACTGTTACTTGCTTTTTTTTTTTCTGTAAGAATGAGCAATAGTTATTTTAGGAGACAGAAAAACCCATGTCATAGTCATTGTTCAAAGAACATACATGTATTCTCTTTGTTACGTGTTTAAGAATTTATTTTTTAAAGCAGTTTTAGGTTTACAACAAAATTGAGAGAGAGATACAGAGATTCCCCGTATAGCCACTGCCCGTACACATGCATATCCTCTCCCATCATCAATATAGCTCACCAGAATGACACTTTTTTTTGACCTATGATGAACTAACATGGACATATAATCACCCAAATCCACAGTTAACTTTAGTAGTCACTCTTAGTGGTATGCATTCCATGGGTTTGGATAAAAATATGATGACATATATTCATCATTAAAATGTCATACAAAATATTTCACCACCCTAAGAATCTTCTGTACTCCACCTACTCATACCTGTGTGTCTATAGTTTGACCATTTATAGAATGTCATATAGTTGGAATCATAGAGTATGTAGTTTTTTTGATAGGATTCTTTCACTTAGTAATATGCATTGAAGTTTTCTCTATGTCTTTTAAAAGTTCATTTCTTTTTAGCACTGAATTCCATTGTTTGGATATACCATATTATTTGTCCATTCACCTAATGAAGGGCATCTTGATCACTTCCAAGTTTTAGCAATTATGAATATACCTGTGTGCAGGTTTTTGCATGGACATAAATTTTCAAATCCTTTGGGTGAATACTAAGTAGTGTAATTGCTGCATCATATGGTTAAATTACATTTAGTTTCATAAGAAATTGTTAAACTGTCTTCCAAAGTAGCTGTACCATTTTGAATTCCCATCAACAATAAATGAAAGTTCCTCTTTTTCCATATACTCACCAATATTTGGTATTGTCAGTGACCCAGCTTTTGGCAATTCTAGTAAGTGTATAGTGGTACCTTGTTTTAATTTGCATTTCACATATGACATATGATAGAGTGTATTAATTCTTTTACATTACAGAACCCTCTGAGATATTCATATACTTTTATCCATGTTAAAAAATGAGGAAACTGAGGCATAGAGTGATGAGTTATCCAGCAAAAGATAATATGGTTTAGTAAGTGGTAAAGCCAGAATTTAAATCTATATAATTTAGTTCTTGTGTCTGTGCTCTTAACTACAAACATATAATCTTGAAGATTGCTCCAGTTAAATACTTATAGAATACTGGTATTTTAATTGCTGCATAGTAGTCTATTCAGACTCTATTAATGTTACTTTAGACTATGTCATATTTTTACTATTTTCTATTATAAACGATATCTCTAATACATACATCATTGCCTATGTGTGTTGGCCAGTATGTATTTTTGAAAGTTAAATTTTCAGAATTGAGCCTGAATCAATGGAGATATGACATTTAAAAATTGTAGCAGCTTGTTTTAATTTCTATAGCTTCTTATTATGGTTGATTTTTTATATGGGAAATCCTTTCTCAGTGTTATTTTTATTTACCATCTTGGTAATCCCTGTGTATTTCTTCTTCCATATGTCTTTTTGAAGTGGCTTATGAAATTTATTTTTGTTTAATTTTATTCAGATTCCTTTGTAGTAATATAATAATTTCTAAAGAAGTGTCTTACTTTCTATGGTGAATTTTCCATCCATTGCATTGGTAAGGGCCCTCCATTTACTAAATCATTTTTTCTTATGTTCTAAGTGAAGTTTTATACTTTTATTTTTATTGGTCTTCCTCATTTCATTTCAGATGTTAACATTTATTTTGGAGTCATTATGTTTGAAAACCTTTTACATTATTTTTTTTCTGGTTACTGGTGGTATATAGGAAAGACAATGCTTGATATGATGATCTCACAGCCAAAGACCTTGCTTATATCTTATTGTTGTCTTGGATAACCCATTTAGATGATAATATCTCCTGCAAAAAATGACAGTTTTATCTTTTATCTTTTTATGATGTTTATACATTCCCAATTATTTTGTTGTTGGCTTTAAACATTGCCTAGGACCCCAGTACATTTTAATTTTTTGCCCTTTTTTTGAAATTTATTGAAGTTTGGTTTATACAACATGTAGTTTATCTGTTTTAAGTGTGCAATTCAATATTTTGTAGTATATTTAGAGAATTATGACACCATCTCCGTAATTGAGTTTTAAAGATTTCTTTCTTTTCACCCAAAAAGATCCCTGGTACCCATTTGCAACCATTACCCATTCCATTCCCCCCCTAGGCAACCACTAATGTCCTAGTACAACATTACATAGTACTAAATAGTCTATCAGCCAAACTTGCTTGTTCTTGTCTTTAATGAGAATGTCACAAGTGTTTCACTTTTAAATGTGATATGAACAGTTTCTTGTCAACTGAGTTAAAGAAGTTTCCCTTTATTTTGAATTTGCTAAAATATTTTTTTAGGAATTAACTTTAATTTGCCAAGTACTTTTCCTGAATCTATTCATCATCTGAATTTGACATTGTTTTTCTCATTTACTGTAGATCATTTTGCAGATAAACCTTCCTAGATTGAGCTGATTTGTCTTTTATTCTTTGACTTACCTTGCACATGAAGTAATTAACATTTTTAAAAATCTGTATTACTTATCTGTTCCTGTATAACAAGTAGCTTACACAAACAATAATAATTTATTATTTCCCATGTTATTTTTGAGTACACAAATTGGCAGCATCTCAGCTGGGTGTTCTGAATTTCTCACAAGATGGTTAAAGATGGAATTATCCAAAGTCTTGACTGGGACCAGAGGATCCATTTTCAAGGAGGCTTTTGCACATATATGGCAGTTGGTGTCAGGAAATTGTTTCCTCTCTATGTAGAACTTTTAATAGGACTTCTTGAGTCTCTGCACCATATGGAAGATGGCTTCCCTCAGAATGAGCAATCCAAGACTACAGTGGCAACTACAATAACTTTTATGACAGAGTCTTGGTAGTCACACACTGTCATTTATGTTCTGTTCTATAGGTCAAATAGCCCAGCTCCAACTGAATGAGTGAGAGAACTAAACAAAGGCATGAATCCTAGGAGACAAATATCATTTGGACTAATATCCACAGATCCTCATGTATTCTAATACTTATTAACATTTATGGTTTTATGTGACACTGGGCCACATATTTTATCCCCTGTAGTGTGTTTATCAAGTAATTAGATAATGTTATATCAGCCTTACAAAATGATTTTGGTACCTTTTCTAATCCCCAGTTTATTTAAAGTAAAATGTATCTGTTTCTTGGTGAATTATATAAATCCTGTCATGGGAATGGGTGAGCTGGCCTGGAAAGTCACATCTCTCAAACCTGGAAATGTCAGACAGAAAAAACAAGGAGTGATGGCAAAGATTAATTGAAAACTACAATTATCAAGCTAGATGTACTAGATATGTATAGAAATCTACATGTAATTGGTTAAAAAAATAACACATATTTACAATTAGCAATAATCGTGCCTCGGATAAACCTCATTGGCTACGATACTGCTACTGCGCAAAGCTAAAAAAATAACACATATTTACAAAAGTGATTTCACATCAGTTAGTATATTAATTACCTATATTTTATATAGTTCTTACTATATGTAATAAAATGCTCAGAATTCTTTATGTACATTAGGTCATGAGATTGTCACAAATACCCTGTAATTTGGGTAGTTTTACTGAAAGTTTTTTTCAATAAAGACAGTATTTGAAGGAGAGCTTAGCTAGATATAAAATATTTGGTTCACAATTTGAGTTAAAAAAAAAAAGTTATCTATTGCTCCATTGTTGGCTGGCTTTTTATGTTGGTCTTAAAGTTGCTAATCAGATTTTTACAAGTTATTTGATCATTTGTCCTGAAAGCTTTGAGATATTAGTTGACCTTTGGAATCTAATAGTTTTATTGTGAAGGGCCTCAGCATTGATTGTTCTGGGTTAATTTTTAATGGGTATATGTATCTATACTTCTCTATTTCCAGAGAGTTGTTTTGCATTATAGATTTAAATATTAATTCTATTCCATTGTTTTATTGTTTTTAGTTTTTTATCAAGGATTCTGAGGTAATATGAATATTATTCTTCCTATGCTAGTCTTGCATTTCCAATTCTTTCTTTTTTATGCTTTTATATAACTTTCATTAACTTTGTTATCTAGATTGTTTTCCTACCTTTCTTCAATGTCTCTAATTATATTTTGACTTGAATCTTTTCTCCCTTAGACACAATGTAATTTACTTTTTTTTTTCTGAGTTAAATATGACTTCTTCCATCTCCTAAATTCATTCAGTTCTTTTTTCATTTGTTCCTATTTATGTATATTTCATCTTAGATTTTGAGTCTGATTCAAGGTAGTTTTCATGTTTGTTAGTATACAGTTGACCCTTGAACAACGTAGTGGTTAGGGATGCCATTGCCCCCCCTCACAAGGAGTTAAAAATCCACATATAACTTCTAACTCCCCCCAAACTTAACTACTAATAGATTACTGTTGACCAGAAGCCTTACCAATATCATAAACAATAGAATATCACAAACTTTGTATATGTATTACATACTGTATTCTTAACAATAAGACCTAGCTTTTTCTTTTCTTTCTTTCTTTCTTTCTTTCTTTCTTCCTTTCTTTCTTTCTTTCTTTCTTTCTTTCTTTCTTTCTTTCTTTCTTTCTTTCTTTCTTTCCTTTCTTTCTTTCTTTCTTTCTTTCTTTCTTTCTTTCTTTCTTTCTTTCTTTCTTTCTTTCTTTCTTTCTTTCTTTCTTTCTTTCCTCTCTCTCTCTCTTTTTTTTTTTTTTTGGTATTTCTAGGCTATTTAGCTCACCTACTAATTTTTTCAAATTGTTGCAAATTTCCAAAAAATTTGCAATATACTTATTTTTAAAAATCTGCATGTAAATGGACCCACACAGTTCAAACCCACATTGGGTTATAAGGGCCAATTGTACTTAATTTTGTTTGAAGTGTAGACTTAGAATTTTCTCCTATTTTATGCCTTTCTTTTTTTAGTATCAGCCTTTTTTTATTATTATTATTCTGTTACGTTAATCACCATACATTACAACATTAGTTTGTGATGTAGAGTTCCATGATTCATTGTTTGCATATAAAACCCAGTGCTCCATGCAGAACATGCCCTCTTTAATACCCACCACCAGGCTAACCCATCCCTCCACCCCCTCCCCTCTAGAACCCTCAGTTTGTTTCTCAGAGTCCATAGACTCTCATAGTTTGTCTCCCCCTCCAATTTCCCCCCTTCATTCTTCCCCTCCTGCTATCTTCTTTTTTTTTTTTCTTAACATATATTGCATTATTTGTTTCAGAGGTACAGATCTGTGATTCAACACTCTTGCACAATTCACAGCGCTCACCATAGCACATACCCTCCCCAGTGTCTATCACCCAGCCACCCCATCCCTCCCACCACCCCTCCACTCCAGCAAACCTCAGTTTGTTTCCTGAGATTAAGAATTCCTCATATCAGGGCGCCTGGGTGGCTCAGTTGGTTAAGCGACTGCCTTCGGCTCAGGTCATGATCCTGGAGTCCCAGGATCGAGTCCCACATCGGGCTCCCTGCTCAGCAGGGAGTCTGCTTCTCTCTCTGACCCTCCCCCCTCTCATGCTCTCTCTCTCTATCTCATTCTCTCTCTCAAATAAATAAATAAAATCTTAAAAAAAAAAAGAATTCCTCATATCAGTGAGGTCATATGATACATGTCTTTCTCTGATTGACTTATTTCGCTCAGCATACTCCCCTCCAGTTCCATCCATGTCATTGCAAATGGCAAGATCTCATTCCTTTTGATGGCTGCATAATATTCCATTGTGTATATATACCACATCTTCTTTATCCATTCATCTGTCAGTGGACACCTTGGCTCTTTCCACAGTTTGGCTATTGTGGACATTGCTGCTATAAACATCGGGGTGCATGTACCCCTTCGGATCCCTACATTTGTATCTTTGGGGTAAATACCCAGTAGTGCAATTGCTGGATCATATGGTAGCTCTATTTTCAACTTTTTGAGGAACCTCCATACTGTTTCCCCTTTCTCCGCATCCCTGCCAACATCTGTCCTTTCCTCACTTGTTAATTTTAGCCATTCTGACTGGTGTGAGGTGGTATCTCATTGAGGTTTTGATTTGGATTTCCCTGATGCTGAGTGACATTGAGCACTTTTTCATGTGTCTGTTGGTCATTGGATGTGTTCTTTGGAAAAATGTCTGTTCATATCTTCTGCCCATTTCTTGATTGGATTACTTGTTCTTTGGGTGTTAGGTTTGATGAGTTCTTTATAGATTTTGGATACTAGCCCTTTATCTGATATGTCATTTGCAAATATCTTCTCCCATTCTGTCGGTTGTCTTTTGGTTTTGTTGACTGTTTCCTTTGCTGTGCAAAAGCTTTTTATCTTGATGAATTCCCAATAGTTCATTTTTGCCCTTGCTTCCCTTGCCTTTGGCGATGTTTCTAGGAACAAGTTGCTGCAGCTGAGGTCAAAGAGGTTGAGGCCTGTGTTCCCCTTTAGGATTTTGATGGACTCCTGTCTCACATTTAGGTCTTTCATCCATTTTGAGTCTATTTTTGTGTGTGGTGTAAGGAAATGGTCCAGTTTCATTCTTCTGCATGTGGCTGTCCAATTTTCCCAACACTATTTGTTGAAGAGATTGTCTTTTTTCCATTGGACATTCATTCCTGCTTTGTCGAAGATTAGTTGACCATAGAGTTGAGGGTCCATTTCTGGGCTCTCTATTCTGTTCCACTGATCTATGTGTCTGTTTTTGTGCCAGTACCATGCTGTCTTGATGATGACAGCTTTGTAATAGAGCTTGAAGTCCGGAATTGTGATGCCGCCAGCTTTGCTTTTCTTTTTCAACATGCCTCTGGCTATTCAGCATCTGTTCTGGTTCCATACAAATTTTAGGATTATTTGTTCCATTTCTTTGAAAAAAGTGGATGGTATTTTGATAGGGATTGCATCAAATGTGTAGATTGCTCTAGGTAGCATTGACATCTTCACAATATTTGTTCTTCCAATCCATGAGCATGGAACATTATTCCATTTCTTTGTGTCTTCCTCAATTTCTTTCATGAGTATTTTATAGTTTTCTGAGTACAGATACTTTGCCTCTTTCATTAGATTTATTCTTAGGTATCTTATGGTTTTGGGTGCAATGTAAATGGGATTGACTCCTTAATTTCTCTTTCTTCTGTCTTGTTGTATAGGAATACCACTGATTTTTGTGCATTGATTTTATATCCTGCCACTTTACTGAATTCCTATATGAGTTCTAGCAGTTTTGGGGTGGAGTCTTTTGGGTTTTCCACATAAAGTATCATATCATCTGCAAAGAGTGAGAGTTTGACTTCTTCTTTTCTATTCAGATGCCTTTTATTTCTCTTTGTTGTCTGATTGCTGTGGCTAGGACTTCTAGTACTATGTTGAATAGCAGTGGTGATAGAGACATCCCTGCCGTGTTCCTGACCCTAGGGGGAAAGCTCTCAGGTTTTCCCCATGAAGAATGATATTTGCTGTAGGTTTTTCATAGATGGCTTTTATGATATTGAGGTATGTACCCTCTATTTCTGTACTCTGAAGAGTTTTGATCAAGAAAGGATGCTGTACTTTGTCAAATGCTTTTTCTACATCTATTGAGAGGATCATATGATTCTTATTCTTTCTTTTGTTAATGTATTGTATCACATTGATTGATTTGTGGATGTTGAACCAACCTTGCATCCCAGGGATAAATCCCACATCGACAACAGTACAATAATAGTGGGTACTCTAACACCCCCCTCACTGAAATGGACAGATCATCTAAGCAAAAGATCAACAAGGAAATAAAGACTTTAAATGACACACTGGACCAAATGGACTTCACAGTTATATTCAGAACATTCCATCCCAAAGCAACAGAATACACATTCTTCTCTAGTGCCCATGGAGCAATCTCCAGAATAGATATCATCCTAGGTCTCAAATCAGGTCTCAACCAGTACCAAAAGTTTGGGATCATTCCCTGCATATTTTCAGACCACACTGCTTTGAAACTAGAACTCAATCACAAGAGGAAAGTGGAAAGAACTCAAATACGTGGAGGCTAAAGAGCATCCTACTAAAGAATGAATGGGTCAATCAGGAAATTAAAGAAGAATTTAAAAAATTCATGGAGGGCACCTAGGTGGCTCAGTTGGTTGGGTGGCTGCCTTCGGCTCAGGTCATGATCCTGGAGTCCTGGGATCGAGTCCCGCATTGGACTCCCTGCTTAGCAGGGAGTCTGCTTCTCCCTCTGACCCTCCCCCCCCTCATGTGCTCTCTCTCTCTCTCTCTCAAATAAATAAACTCTTTAAAAAAAAAAGAATTTAAAAAATTCATGGAAACCAATGAAAATGAAAACACAACTGTTCAAAATCTTTGGGATGTAGCAATGGCAGTCCTAAGAGGCAAGTATATAGCAATACAAGCCTTTCTCAAGACACAAGAAAGGTCTCAAATACACCACCTAACCCTACACCTAAAG